AATGAAGTTAAATTTCTTAGAAATGTTGATTTTCACTTTCATTACATGATGTGTGTTTGATTGTTCCGATGTTATTTATATGGTGAGTTCTGGCAAAACATCCCAGTCTTCCTTGATCATGTCACTGGCCTTCTCAGCAATCATGATCGTGGGAGCGTTGGTGTTGCCGTTGGTGACGAAGGGCATGATGGAAGCGCCCACCACCCGCAGTCCAGCAACGCCCCGGGCCCTGCCATAAGACAAACATTAATAACATCATTTGCTGAGCCTCAACATCATTTAAAAATGCAATTCAATTTGCATCTAAATTTAAAGTAAAATTCATGGGGTACCCAGATTAATAAGTATTGGTAATACATTTGAGGTTAAAGCAAATATGTATGTGAATATTTTAAGCTGCTATTCTAATCTACATATTCTATGAATAGCGTATGAGACTAGAGAACCAACATATTGCATTAACAACACATTATACTCCTAACCCATTATCACTACACATTCTGCACCTAACCCATTAATCACTTACGGGCTCATTATACCCCGTGCTACATGGACATTTCGTTCTGAGTAACTAAATTTAAAACAACAACAAACCATTATCATTACACATTCTACACCTAACTCATGATCATTTCACATTCTACACCTAACCCATGTACAAGAGAAATCCAAATGAAAATAACATAATACAAGATAATAGATTGAAACCGATGTTGGTGAACCATTTTGCATGTGACCATAGTCAGCTGATCACTGCGCTTCCTCCGTCGCGAAACTAATGCCCGAATTTTATCCCGGAAGAATGTCGTTGATGCTTGACGAGCCTCTTAAGCAATTCTCTTACCACCAGAGGGACAATGCTGTCTACTTAGTGACTATTGAGTGACCCCTTTGAGTAGTCAGGAGAATATGGGGGAGTGGTGCTGGGGGGGGGGGGGGGGGTCAGTATGATGCCATTTAAAACGCAAATCTATATTGACATTTGCCATTCACCTAATGACAGGGCTTCCATTAACATGGAAATTAGCACTACGCATGCCATTCCCGTTTTCAATCACGTATGGCATCTGACTTTTACGTACCTGAGTCTGTGGTCCACCACACCCAGAGGGTCTGAGGCTGGGGCCATCTTGCAGGCTCCAGCAAGATGGTAGAAGGTTGTGGTCATGTGACGAACATAACAAGCCCAGTAGGCGTCGGTACCATATACTTCATTAATACACTGACGGAGATGCTGTTGACAAAGGGAACATTAGCCGAGACGAAGAAGCTGATGTGGCATTAGGCTACATTTTGTTCAGATTTGTGTTCTCTTATTGGCACGTGCATATACAGCATACATATTTATTTATACATATATATGTGTGGGCGATGAGTCACAATAACGTGGCTAAAGTGTGTTGACCAGACCACACACTAGAAGGTGAAGGGACGACGACGTTTCGGTCCGTCCTGGACTATTCTCAAGTCGATTGAGAATGGTCCAGGACGGACCGAAACGTCGTCGTCCCTTCACCTTCTAGTGTGTGGTCTGGTCAACACATATATTTGTCTTAATTCCTTCTGTCTGAGCCTTCAATAAAAACAACACGCAGGATTTGTCTAAAGCTTTTCAATCAAGATGGTCAAAAGTTACCACCATATTTACATAGCCTAGCTACCACTAGCTTGTTCACCATTATGCTTCAAATTTCAGGTTAAATTATTTTTTCCTTTTACCTTGTCATAGAATCTTGCTCCAAAGTTGTTGACGAAGGCTGAGGTGTTGCCAAGCGCCAATGAAAACTTTACTCCTTTGGTGGAAGAACAGATTAGTAAAATACATTTAGGAAAATAAGTTGAGTAAAATATATTTAAGTAAAATACATCCAACAGGAAAAATATATGAGCACTATTTATAAATTAATATTGATGTCAGTATTAACTAGAATTGACAGTTTAATAAATAATTACTTTCTAACAATTCAAACAATTTCGAGACTTATTGCTCACCTTCGACTAGGGTTCGGACGTCATCTGGATGGGAAAGCAGCTGAGGGTCAATATCTGGGTGTTCATGAACGTCTGTGGACCTGAGGGTGATGGTGCCTCGACTCTTGGGCAGGACAATCATAGGTCTGATGCTGAAACCTTCTCGTCCCAGAATCTCACCAAAGTACTCGTAATACCTCTGTAAGGAAAAACGTTTAACACTGGCCATTCGATTCTGCTGATCTAAAAAAATGCCTCTTAATCAACAGGAGAACTTGCTTCGAGTGCGTGAATTGTGATATTGTTTGATTAATAAAACTGCTCGCGTTAATACAGACTATAACATGAATAACTGCATGATACACTAATAGATAAAGCAATCAAGCGCTCACACTGGTCTGTAACAGAGCAGCCTGTCGTGCTAAGATTTCCCAACGTCAAGAAACTATCGTACTTAAGTGCCCTTATCCTAACCTACCAAGGCACCCAAACAGAAAATGAGACATTATGTAAATTTCTAGTACGACAATTTTTGCCTTAGGTGGAGTAAACGTCAAAATGCACATATCTGTCGTGCTGCCTGGATCTTTTTGTTACGAGTAGCTGAATCTAAAACAGTCAAAATGCGGCGTTCTAGAACGTCGCATTTTGACTTTTATTTGCCCAACACCTGGTAATATATATATATATATATATATATATATATATATATATATATATATATATATATATATATATATATATATATATATATATATATATATATATATATATATATATGTGTGTGTGTGTGTGTGTTAATACTAACTAACAATATATATTGTTATACTAACTTAACATATATGTATACATATACACAATTTTAAACAGATAATGAGCTTTGCGGAATGATTTTGTATACGATTAAACCAAACCATATAATATTGCACTGATAAATACAGGTAAAGAAACTAACCACTGTATCAAATCCCCATAAGGAAGGATGAATAACGCCTAAATCAAACGCTTGAGTAGCACCGTTGAAAAACAGTTGTATGTCAGGCCATAATGGATCGCCATCTGGAGACACCTTTACCCAAGCATTTAAGAAGTTCACTGATACTGTAGCAAGGGGTCCTAGGGGGGTAAGAAAGGAACAACATTAATAATATTGAAATAAATAATTATCGTAAGATATTATCCTGAAAATACATTTAATAAATATCAAATGCAATGGTTATGTTAGGGCCGTTCGGTACTTTAAATTATAAAATTGTATAAATCTATTTTGCGTATAATTATCTTGTTTGTATTAAATTTAAACTGTCGGAGCAAAATTCACCGAGAGATGTATTCTAAACTATGTTCAGGATTAAAGTATTCTTGCTGGTTGGTCTGCAAGTTATTGTGGTGGGCTAAATAATCCTCGTGAGGTTGACAGGCCTTAAGTCCAACACCAAGGGTACTCAGAATCGGTGTTTTAATACATATTTAGTACACTGTTCTCATAAAGGAACGTGTGATTAAAGAAAGTTTATCGTTTTTCTGAAGAACTTTTGTGAAACACATATTAATAATTTAACAAAACTGCTTGCACTCTTTTGCCCACATCAAAACATTTGGATAATCTAAATAGCCGAAAACAATACGTATTGAACAACTGTTTAGCCATTATTGCGATGTACAACAATTGTCATTCTCATCGGTAGTCACAGATGAAGCTTATTTTTCATGCCAGAGGCAGTTGACAGAGGTTTATATGTCATATAGACTCCAGTTGTTTAATATAGATCAGTGCAAGAGGCCTGAATAGTTGTGTACATCCTGAATACATAACTCATCTAATCGTATACATTGTGAATGCATATATATATATATATATATATATATATATATATATATATATATATATATATATATATATATATATATATATATATATATATATATATATATATATATATATATATATATATCTGTATAAAACAATAGAATGATGAGTGACCTTGTCTGGTTGCCTTATACTTCTTGATAGAGAGGGGGTTGAATGTTTCAAGTAAACCGAGTGAAGACGTGCCCTTCTCCCCCAGCCAGCTGAGGCCCAGAACTTCCACGTGATCGTGAACATTCTGGCCGACCCCTGGTACGTCTGCCACCACCTTCAGCTGTAAACATTGCAAACATTAGAGATCAGCTGGTTGTTGTGACCAACAGTGATGTTATCTGTTAAAGAACACTCCCACTTCTCTGGGTAATGTCAAGTAGATAATCAAGCATCATAACTGTGAATTTGTTATACATAAATATAGAACTACTGAAATGAAACTAGAATTTACCTTGACACAGGTAATGGAGGTGATAGAAAACCATTTCCGTCACCTACATTACCTGTGTGTTATTTTCTCAGTAGCAGCCACGGCGCTCGTTCTCTAAGCCTCAGCTTCCTCACTCTAAGCTTCAGTTCCCTTGCTCCTGGTATTAAATCCATCACTCCTAGCCTATGTTCCCCTCTGCTCGTAGAAAAATAATTTCTGCTCCATCGTCAGTTTCCATATTTCAGGTTTTAGCCCCTCATAATTAGGTTTCAATTTGCATTCCCGGACCAAATCTCAGTACCATCTTAACATTCACTTTATCTCTACCCTTATTCTAACACACGGAATAGTTTACTTTAACCTCGCTACCGTCTTCCGAAGTCCACAGTCTTGGACTTCGACTGACTTGCAGCCAGACGCAACCCGTCCTCCTAACAGAACGTCGCATTTTGATGTATACTCTACCTAAGGCCAAAAATTGCCGTACTAGAAAATGGTAGCGGGTCGCGAAATTGATTTTTTTTTGGGGGGGGGGGTCTTCTGGTAGGTTTGGATAAGGGTACATTAGTACAACAGTTTCTTGACGTTGGGAAACCTTAGGAGGACGGGCTGGCCAAACGAACATTGGCACTTATGTTTGTTTGTGTTATTTGAGTCTCATCCATTGGCAACATTAACACTTTATACTAATAAAGGTGTCCCTTGTGTCCAATATCTGATAACATTGGTACTTACTCCATGCTGGAGGAGGTGTTCCTTGGGTCCAACTCCGGACAACATGAGTAACTTGGGTGATTCAACTGGGCCGGCAGACAGTATGACTTCCCTCCTCGCTCCCACCGTCAGCAGCTGCGAACGTTCACTACTATGTTAGTGTCATTATTGACAAAGCGCCGAAAATACAATGGCGTTCCTGTATAATGCAAAAAATATATACCTTTCCTGTGCGGTAGTTTTACATGATAATGGTACACTAATAAGTAGCAAATTTTATCTTCTAACTTTCTGGATTACTGACATTGTGGAGTAGAGACATTTGAATATAACATTTTATCTAAGTGAACTATAGTTAAGGTAAGCTAAGGTTCCTTACCTCTCCGTTGTGCTCAAACGTGACTCCAACTGCTTTCTTGTTTTCGAAGATAATCTGAAAATAATGATTTTTCTTATATTCATGAAACATATCAAGACATAAGTGCAAAATCTAAAGCATCATGTGGATAAGAAATCACCCCAAAAAATAAATCAGCTTACCTACCATGAAGCTTGACAAATACAAGGTAGATAACTCTTTACAAAATCTAATTATCAAATCCAGACCTTGTTTTTCGTAATCAAATCATGGCTATCAAACATATTCCATTTTCCAAAGTTTGTTGCTGCATTGATGACGTCTGAAGTTAATGCGAGGCTAGCGTCTATTGAATAAGATTAGATGAATATATAGAATCTCCACATTGTTATATATAACTGTACAGAAAAAGTGCATTTCTAGCGTGCAAACTCAAAACTAAAGTGCTTTTATTATAGAAGACTGACTGTTTTAACGACATGGAATATAGCAACAGTGGTACAACATACATTGTCATGGACGGGCTATAAACTGACCTTGTGAACGACGGTACTGTGGAGAATATGAAGGTTGGGTCTGGACATTGCAGGTCTCAAGTACTCCCTGGCAGTGGAAGACCTCACCCCGTCTTTGATAGAAAAAGTGTTCACTGGGAACCCTGGAGGAATGAAACTGTAGTAAGTTATCATCAAAATTTGTTACAATTTTACTGATACCGAGTTGGGAGTGAAAACTGTTTCCAAATATATATTTTATTATTAATTTCTTATATATTCAAAGTAGAAATCGGAAACATTCTCGTGATATAAATTAACATTAAAAATAACTGATCTACAATTTAAAATAAGAACTGAAATTAACATCTAAAAATAACTGATCTACAATTTAAAATAGAGACTGAAATTAACATAAAAAAATAAATGATCTACAATTTAAAATAGGGACTGAAATTAACATCTAAAAATAACTGATCTACAATTTAAAATAGGGACTGAAATTAACATCTAAAAATAACTGATCTACAATTTAAAATAGAGACTAAAATTAACATCTAAAAATAACTAATCTACAATTTAAAATAGGGACTGACTCTCAAAATTATCATTCACTCTCGCCATATTTCATGAAAATATGAACACAATGGGGGGTATTTTGTTTACACTAGAACCATAAATACATACCAATTTGTTCTGGGCCGTTATAATCGAGCGAAGGGTAGCCTAGCTCCTTACCACCCTGGATGAATGCTCGAGAGAGACGGGTGAGAGGTGCCGGAGTGACACCAATAGGTCCGCCCCGTCCATGGTAGGCTCCTGTCACAGTTGTTGTGGGTAATAACATGTGTACCATTTGTCTAGTTTCTTAAAATATGTTTTTTTTCTCTCACTGGATCTATGTAAGCATATCTTGACCTATACAAATGAGGGTTGATGATCTTCATGGTGGTATAAATTATGGTAGATATATGGTAGTGGTTGTAAAATATGGTAGATACATGGTAGTGGTTGTAAAATATGGTAGATACATGGTAGTGGTTGTAAAATATGGTAGATACATGGTAGTGGTTGTAAAATATGGTAGATACATGGTAGTAGTTGTAACATATAGTATACATGTTGGTGTTGTAAAATATGGTATTGTATCTAGAAAATCTAGATGCAATCTTAATATCTAGAAACATGGTAGTAATTGTAACAAATTATATCATTGTAAATATGGCAGTTGCTGTAAAAAATGTAGTGTAGCCTTGGTAATTATACAAATTTGGGGGAGTAGATGACTTGCATAGAACTGGTTGTAAAAAATATCATAGTAGATGGTGTAAGTAGTAGTGCTTGAAAAAAGTATGACAAATAGTTAATGTAAAAAATTAAGTATCATGGAAGACGGTTTATATATGGAATTTGTTAGCAAATATGATTGAAGGTTAAATACTGAAAGTTTCAAATGAAGAGATTGTTTTCACAGTTCAGTTGGTATTCACATCTTTCCTTAACAGCCTGTGGTACAATTAAATCTTATGTCCATCTAGTTGAATAGTCATCTAGTTTTCAACAATTTGCTAAATAAATTCATAGTATTTACACTCAGAAACCGGGTATAACTCTCTCTGTAAATTTCTCGGAGTTGTTAGCTTGAGACAAATTCTAATAATTATTTGCACATAGTGTTACATAAAATTGAGGTAATAAAATGTCGATTTATCTCACCGTTATCGCTGACCTCCCCGCGGTAGTCCTCAGCCTTGATGAAGTAAGGGAGGACGCTGAGGTAGTCCCAGCCTGGGTTACCCACTTCCGCCCACCGGTCGAAGTCTCGCCTGTTGCCTCTCACGTACATCATACTGTTGACGGTGGACCCGCCTCCCAGTACACGCCCCTGGGGCTGCCTCGCCGCCTGCGGCGTGAGAGCAAGCACGTTAATTCATGTTCCTGCTGCTTCATGTTGTACATGAAATTTTAATCCGTTAAACCGCATTTTGGTTTAGGTTATATCGATGTTTCCTTGACTTCCTTCCCCTCACCACCCCCCACCCGTTGTCCGGCATTGAACCATAAACTGCCGAGGAAAAATAATGGTAAATGTGTTAAAATTTATATATTTCCTAATCTCCTCTGCATACGTTTTAATCAATAACATTTAGGCAAATGCTGTAGATTTCTTTGAATTCTGACGTTTATACTTCTCACAGTAACATGAAATGAATTAATTAACAACTATATACTGGTATTCACGAGTTATTAATTAAGAATGAAGTGTACAGGGCAGACTGAACTAGTTCATCAAGCATTAACACGTTTTGGAGTAGAACGAAGGGAAAGTGTCCGGGTGAAGGTTACTGGTGTAGTAGGTTACAGTGTGCATGACTGTGTGGTTTTGCATGACCATTTTGGTCACAAAAAATGATGACTAAGAGTGAAACAATTATTTAATTGAGTTTGGTTTCTGCCATATTTACACTGATCGTAACGTCCTTATCACAACAATCAGATTACAATATATTTTTGTATTACGATCTTGGGCCGATCTAATAGGGAAGTCGACACATTATTTAGACCAGATTTTTCCTGAACTTACCTTGTAGTGCAAGTTTTTGTACACATCACTCCAGAAACATTGTTGGGGTGTTTAATAATAATAATTACATATTTTGGATTATTTCTAGTACACGGATATTGGATTTAGGCTTAAATGCAGTTTAATTCCAGTACTCCTGATCAGTGGGTGTGAATCCCGCATAGGCTACATATGACGTTTCTAGCAACCCTGAACTTACTGGATACAAGATAAAAATTCTTTAACTGGGACACAAGTCATAAAAATCGAGTGGTGTACCCTCCCCTCACTTCAGTGGGTATACACTGAGTTTACTTTAGTCCTTAAATTACATGTTCAAAGTTGGCCATAAGAATCTTGTTGGGGCCTTAGTAATCCCATAGTTAATATGACATGGAATCGTGTTACGACAATGATCTGTGTAGACTTGTTTTATTATTATTTTTGCTTGGTAGTTGAATTACAAATTGCCCTGACAAATCTTAAACAAAACTAGCTGAATTATTTCTTAATATTAAAATAAATCATATAGATATTAGAGAGAATGAGGACAGCCGTCACTTCCTAAGTATATTGCTCATCAGAGCTGATGAAAAATTTGAGTTCAAGGTGTACAGCAAACCCAACATACAAGGGCGACCTCATAATTTTTTTTGGAACGCATTATGACATCAAAGTAAAAGAAGCAGTGTCATTGACAGTTTCCTCAGGGCCTCTAGAATTGATAGCCTTCGTAACCTGGAAGACTGACAATGCGTAAGATTATTTCCTTTACCTTTAAATTCTCCCTGCACGTTATCAAGGATTATCGGAAGAGATCACATGCAAAACTTGAATGACTATTAGCGACATGACGCCTGCTGATCCCATGGTGGTACGATGGCCACAGCGTTATCACTAAACCCAGATCCCACGACCACAGCGACACCTACAGCTAGGATCATATGATCACAACATCACAACAGTTAGATACCACGACCACAACGACACCACTAAAGTTAGATCCCATGACCACAGCGACATTACTACAGCTAGATTCCATGACAGCGACATCACCACATCGGGTTCACATGATGACCACAGCAACATCTCTACAGCCAGTTCCCATTGGCGTACAGGCACTACAACATCACTACAGTCAGATCCCATAATCACACACACCACAACATCACTACAGCTAGGTTCCATGGGCACATAAACGACATAACTGGAGTGTTCAATGCTTCAGGCATTTATTTTGTAATAAATGCACATGTGAGAATGTGAGAATCCTCCAGGACTCAAGACACGTGCATAAGTATGCTTGCCGAACTCACCACCGCTCACATTATGATGTGGAACAACGTCTAGCTCAATAAAAACTACTTACCAAGCAGAAAGTGAATTCAAGTTAGTTACAACATAGCTCCGCCGTCCCCTCTTCCACTATCGAAATTAGTAACATAAATAAATACTTTGAATTTTTGTGCATCCTATTGATATCTGCCCTCCCACCCAACTACTGCACAACCCTCCTCTTTAACCTCTCTCCTCAGCCCACCGTCTCCCTATATTATTTTATTTGTTTGCCTCTCTGGCAGATTCGAGGCAGCTCTCCCGAGAGGTAAATCTATAAGACAGTTGTCTGTTTGCTTGTTTGTTCGAAGTTGGAGGCCAGACGCTTGGGCTAGCCTCACCCAACTTTTACACACGAAACATGGAGAGGAAAGGAAATAGTTATGTGAGTACCATAGGCCAGTCGGGGTCGGCCCAGTGCCACACTTTAAGAAATATCGGCATCCATAGCATCCCCCATCCTGCAATTTTCATTGTCAAGTCTGAAATAAAGGTTGTTTGTGCCGTAGAGTTATTAAGCAGTTTCAGTGCTTCAGACCTTAACATTTTCCGAGAGAAAGATAATAAAAGGGCAGAGAGGAATAGGGGATTTTGAAAGAGTGGTGATAAATGTGGTGATGGGTGCAGATTGGGAGAGACAATAGATTTTCCTCTATTGTAATTCGTTTTAAGATGAACTGACTGGCTTCAGGTGAATAATATATTTATGCAAGTGTAAAAACTGGGTGTCATTATCTATCTCCAGCTGTTCTAAACAAAATTCTCAGACAGAATACATACCGTTTGTAGTAGCCTATTTGTTCAAAATACATATACACTGTATTTGTAAAAAAATAGCTTACTATCCATTACAACATATTGGTACTTTCGACCACATGGTTACAAAAAGTACTATCATTTCAGGAGGATGAGCTGGCAGTTTAATGGCTAATCGTCTGAGGAAATATGGCTAATAATCCTATTTAATTGAAGTGGTCTCGATCGTGTGAGGAAAATATACCTCGGAACTGGTCTGGGCATGATGATCTCCACTTACGATGGTTTTGTAAAAATAGTAACATATACTAGCAATTATGAGGATCAGTAATACAGCGATGCACTTCAGAAAAACTAACTTTGTAAGCCAGCTCCTGTTTGTATCCAAGAGGTTTCATTCTGAACTGAATTTTGACTTTCAAATTCATTTTACAACTTTCATAGAAAAGGTTATAGTGACTTACCTGATCAAATAGATTTAGGGAAGCATATTTCTGCGGGACGGTTTTGTAGTTCCAATCTTGAGGGTATCCAGGGACGTAGGGAATAGGCAGGAAGGCCGGGACGTTGGTCTCTATCGGCGGGGGACCTCCAGCCTCCAGCAGCAGCACCCGCCACCCCGGCACCTCCGACAGCCTTCCCGCCAGCACACACCCCGCTGACCCTCCACCCACTGTGTGGAGGATGCATGGTTACTCTCTCTTTGTGCAGCCGATGAGTCACAATAACGTGGCTGTAGATATGGTGACCAAACCACACACCAGAAGATGAAGAGACGACGACGTTTCGGTCCGACGTTGTCGTCTCTTCATCTTCTGGTATGTGGTTTGGTCATCATATATTTATTCTCTTAATCCACTGTGTTTAAGATGTATGGTTAGTGCCTCCACCCCCTGTGTGCAGTATTGTTAAGACCTGGTCTATTGTTACCAGTTCCCATCCCTCACTACAATGATCTGGGCTGAGGAAAAACAGATTGAATTAATTGACTATAGGTTTAAAGGTTATAATCTAGAACACTATAGGTTTACAGTTATAATCTAGAACAAGTGCAAAGAATAACATTAACTACACTGAGTCACTGCGTTCTCAACACATTTGCCACAACGTACCAAATACAGTGTTAACCTAACCAGAAACGAACAACCCAAACCACCCACCTAACCTAACCTAACCTGCAAAAGCATAGAAAACGTGGGTTTTTGTGAGTCGTTACTTTTTATATTACTCTGTAATTTGTACGTTGGGGACCATAACGTACAAAATGAGACGTACTAGTTGAGAGTGCGGGTTGCAGCACAAGCTACTTGGTTTTCCACTATCGAAGACAGAAAGCCTGTTAAACCTACCAAGCTCCCAATTAGGCAAATGACTGGTTTTCCTTAGGATGCAACCCACAAGTCTCCTTACTCCAGTGGGCCTATTTACTACGAGGTAAACAGAGCTGTCAAGGTAAGGAAAGGCAACCCGCCCTCAGGCCGGGCTCGTTAAGATTGCGGCCGTCCCGCGAAGAAGCGTTCAGCACTTTCGATTCTTCTCTCGTATATACAGTTTCATTGCGCGTCACTGACTGGGCAAGTGCAACTCAAACAGAACTTGCAGGAATATACCGTGCCACTGATTTTTTACGTCAAATACGAACTGATTAAACTCTTACTACGTTAGTATTGGACTTACAGCTTGGGCTGGAGGATGGGCTGTGCGAATGTCAGGCTCTCAAGTAGAACCTTCAGTTAGTCTTGCATTGTTTTTATAAAGTTTATGCTATTACTTTTAACCCTTTAAATGCTGTTATTATAATGAAGTTTGAGGAGCGATATTGCATATTAATGTTAGCGAAAACTATAAGATAACGCGCCTATCACAGGAATCGTATTGCGTGTGACTATCTTGCTTTTGCCAAAATATTTTTAAAATTAATTTCATGATAATTAATTTATATTATATCATTGATCTAAGAAACCACAAGGGTTATGTTATTTGTGTGTATATGTTTATTGTAATGGGTGATGACTACACCACCACATCAGAAAATGACGATACGACGACGTTAGGTCCTGGACCATTATAAAGTTATTTAATCATTACACGACTTGATACGACACGACACGACTCCAGGACGATTCGAAACGTCATCGTTTCTCCATTTTCTGAAGTGTGATTTGGAGTCACGTTGTCGTGACACATTGTCTGCATACTGTGATGGATCCTTGTACATAAGTAAATTATATATTCAACATTTTTATAAAATCAAATCAGATGTATATGTAGAACCAAGAAAATGTAATGTTGACATTCAGAATACGCTTGCAGCGAGTTATAACTGCAACAAGTCCCACGCCACTTTGTGGGAGTCGCTATTTTTTATATTATTTTGTAATTTGTACGTGAGAGGGGAGGTTGTTGTTATAGATTCAGCTACTCGGAACACGTTCCAAGTAGCACGGGCTATGATGAGCCCGTAACTTACCTGGCACAGGAGCGGGGCAAGAAGCATGGGCTATGGTTAGCCTGGGAGAGGGGGGGGAGTCCTTACCGATGATAAAGTCATACTGAGAGATGAGAGGACCATTCAGCTGGTAAAGTTCGTGTCCAGTTTCAGGAAACACGGAGAGGAGCAGCAGCCGCAGCACCGGCAGGATAGTTGTTATCGCTCCGCCAATGACGCCGTCTCGCACATAGTTTATGCCAACCACCATGATGGATACCTGTAACAATGTAACTGTGTTAGTGTAATGGGGCTACATACAAAGACCTCTATATATCATTATCGAGGACAGGAAGTCTTTTAGGCTTATTGAGGGCATTGGAGGCTATTCGTCCTCCGTAAATTATAGTATATAATTACATCAACTATTTGGTAGAACGTCCGGAAATGGACTGTTGCAGCAAACAATGCTCACGTTTTGTACTATTAATTTTATAGAGGGCACGGTAAAATGTAAGCTAAAGACCAAACTTCAACATACCTAGGCCCATGTACAATATTAGGCCTAAGATAACATTTATTAGGCCTAGGATTGCTAGGACAGGTTATGTTAGGTTCTTTAGTTACTCTTCCAATTTTTAGTATGCCATTTTGGCTAATTCACTAATAATAAATATGAACTTTTTTTGCAAGCCATCCTCTCGTATACAGAAAATTGATGTACTAAAAATGATAAGCAACTCGTAAAATTGACGTCATGTCCCTTTCCAACTGATGGGTCCTCGCCTTGGTTAGGCTCGGCCAATTTAGTACATTAGTTACGTGACGTGACCAGGCTGGAGGGCGGGCTGACTAGGCTAGAGGGCGGGCTGAATAGGCTGGAGGGCGGGCTGACTAGGCTGGAGGGCGGGCTGAGTAGGCTCGAGGGCGGGCTGACTAGGCTCGAGGGCGGGCTGAGTAGGCTCGAGGGCGGGCTGACTAGGCTCGAGGGCGGGCTGACTAGGCTCGAGGGCGGGCTGAGTAGGCTCGAGGGCGGGCTGACTAGGCTCGAGGGCGGGCTGACTAGGCTCGAGGGCGGGCTGAGTAGGCTCGCCCTCCACAGTTGTCACGTCACAAAAACGATATACTAAATTGTCCAAACCTAACCTAGTCCAGGACCCATCAATAGAAAAGGGACATGATATATGTCAATTTTGGGATTCGTTAGGATTTTTAGTACACCATTTTTTGGTCTTAGGGGATTTATACGTCAAAATGCGATGTACTATTCTCTCAGGCGAAGTATGAGAGTACTAGAGTAAGAGCCAGGCGGAGTGAGAGTACTAGAGTAAGAGCCAGACGGAGTGAGAGTACTAGAGTAAGTGCCGGGCGGAGTGTAAGGGTAGTAGAATAAGAGCAATAATCACCTTTCTGCCACGGGTGGCTGGTCCCTACTGACAAGACTGCCGCCACACCCTTCCGATGAAAACTACCCACCTTTCTCTCGCCTTGACCTTACCCTGACTTCCTCAAGGGGGGTGGGGGGCTTCACTCTTGACAAAACTAGTATATTAATGACTAGCAAGTATGCCTAGACGGGCACCACGGACGGTAACGCAGCTTCCTGCTCCTCCAGCAAGTATTCTAGTTCTCACACACTGCGTTCTCTCCATTTTCCACTCCGTAAAAAAAAACACAACTATTTTGTCTACCCAGAAACGTACGAACCCAAGCATCCCCCCCCCCTAACCTATCGACGCCAATACATAGACAACTTCAATTGCCTAATTCCTATGTACCTATTTACTGCAGGGTGAACAGCGGCATCGGGTGAAAGGAAGCGTGCCCAAATGTCTCACCTTACCCAGGAATCGAACCCGGGACCGTTCAGTAAACGTGAAAGTCGAGGTTTGTGTTGTAACCTCGTGAAGCACAAATGAACTATTTTATTTCATTTTATGAAATTTGTTGGTCATGTTGATTTCTTTAGACCTTTCTATGCCACCTTCAGACCAGTGCTACTGTAAAGGTCAATCCGTGTATCAATCCAATCAATATATATATATATATATATATATATATATATATATATATATATATATATATATATATATATATATATATATATATATATTATATATATATTTATATACTATGTTTTAAAATCATAATAGATCTTCTGGCTGCAAGAAATAGGCTTCATACCTATTTTTTTTTAAAGTATGTGAACTTAAGAATGTTGGATAAATATGTTTGTCTTGAAAGAATTAATCTTTTTTTCATCAACATTGGTCTGAAGGTGACCTGGAAAGTTTCTAAAGAGGTAGACATGACTGACATATTCAGGGAAAGGACACAAAAGCCAGCGAGAGAGAAACATGTGGATGTGGTTCACAGCGCCGCTGCCTTACCTGCTGTGGGAACCGACCTGTGAGATTTATATTTATTTAATTTATATGAATTTATATTTACGTTAATTTATATACTTCGATAGCAATTTGTATAATGATAAGTGGACTGTATTTCTGCAATAATCTCATAATCTCACAAATCGATCCTCTACACATTAGGGGGGGTTTATATTACACATATGCAGCCAATCAAATTACAGTAATAGCTACATACATTGATGAGGTTCCTTATCTTATAGTACAGCAGGTTAGTCCACCAGGTATAACTAGAGTGTAGACACCAAATTATCCTCTTTGAGGTAGCTTCTATCACCCAGAAACTGGTGCACATAATCTTGCATCCTCGTCTTGACCTGTCAAAAGTGCGCTAGCTGTGAAGCCAGAATCCTATATATGACAAGTATATCAGAGAAAACACTATACAGTACATGGAACATTAAAGACCTGGCTTAATTACCTTTAGTTTGAGGCGATTTCGCGTTCTAACCGGCTAACCCTATATCCTGACATTAATGGCCATAAATGAATGATAAACGGGTTTCGGATAGACACTTAACTTGTATTTGTAGACAGCGTGTTGACAATGGTACACCTTTGGGTTCCATAACACTACGTCCAAGTAAATTTAACAGGAGCCGAATTTGCTCCCGTGTGAGCCTCTGGTCTCGTATCAACAACAATGGCTGCCCTCCTTCCTCCACTCTGACGCCTGGCTTACATTGTCCAGATTTCAGAACGTGATAGAAGGGTCACATTTACTCTACTTTAATATTGATAATTAAGTTAATTTATATAAGATGTTTTTATGATGGTAAAGTCCAAAGACTTATGTATTTAAGAATAATTCCCACCATAATAGGTGGTGAATTATAATAGTATGTGGTGATGATATCCCGTTTTCTTTAGACGGTAATTCCACTACAAGTTACGTTTTCTATGGGTAACTTGTTGGTAATACAGCTATTATCTGTATGATATATTAAATGGTGTCGGATTTTCCGACATAATTCCCCAGGGGGCTGCTCACGGGTCGAAGTCCTAATTAGAACAGACGAACACCGATACTCCTCCTTCGAATTATTAGATTAATTTGATGTTAGTAGTTAGTAATCACACATTTGTGCGTCTGTTCGTACAGGACGGATGTCCCGTACTAGAGTTGCAGGGTTTAGAAGTCTAATGCGATTTCATTTCCCTGTCAACTCTTGAAAGGCTAATATTCAAGCCTTATTACATATTATTTAACCCAGAAGACTGGATGTGATCAAGTACTACAGTCAAGTATGATTCAGGGACTGCAGTGAGATCAGTGACATTAGATATAACTTGAAGTTTGTTCAGGTAACTGGTCACTGATATATAAACACTGAGGCCCATGGAATACATCTTGATTAAATAATAAATGTATCAAATCAGTCATCAGATTTATTGGGGTTTAATTTAGTTAATTGATTCAGAAGATTGAATAGCTCATCAATAAAGTAAAGTATGGTTCTGAGACTGCAGTGGGTTCAGTGACATTGGTCGCAGTGACTTGTAGCTGTTTTAGGCTACTGTTCACTGATTTGCCACTGAGGCCTCATGAAATCATCTTCATCTTTAAATGATGATACTAACATCAACCTCTGTTGGTATAGTCAGCTGTAATCTCCTTAGTATAATGCTACTGGAGAAATATAATCAGCTGACAAATTTAGATTTCTACTGGTATTGTTTATCTGCAGGCATAGGTCTCCTCAGGCTTGATACTGGGCCTGAGAGTAATTTACCTCCTGCAGAGTTTAACATGGTTATACCCTGATATTTAGTAGGGCTACCGATGAATCGATGGTAGTAGTCTGTCCCCACAAGGACAGCCATTTGGCATTTGATTTGCTCAAATTTACCTGCAGCTGCTTGATAATAGCTTTCCAGGTCAGCATAATCAACTGTTGATTGTTGTGACAAATCTTCACATTTCTTGATCTGTCTTGTTAAGTGGCCTTTAAGACCTGCAAGGGTTCTTTTCATTCTCCCTGCATTATCCATACTGGCTAGTTGGAGAAGCCTTGTGGGGCTTGTACTTGGGCTGCTCATAATACTGAACAAGCTCTAATGGTAGCCTAGGGTAAATTCTGAACTCACTAGGCAATAATCCTACCTCTACTAGAGGTTAGCACTTAAAATTAATACACATTATATATATACAATCATCCACACTAATGATTTGAGTGATAAACCAGTGTCACTGGAAGTACCTTTAGGTTAGCTCTTCTATATCACCCTAGGATGGTAGAGACACTAATTAATCACTCAAAGGTGTAATGATCATAAGTAAATTATTATATATACAACTCAACTCGAGTTGATAAAAATTACACCCAAATAGGGTCTGGACCATTCATTAATGGTGTTAGGTTGTTCAATATAGTACAACTGACTATTGTAATAATGGGACTAGGATGAACAATAATAGTTCAACTAGTCATATCCTACCCTGTTGTGGGTTGGCAATTAGTAAATATTATATTGAGAACACTAGTGCAATTTATATTAAATGATTCTCTATTTTGGAGAAATAATATACACAATTATTGATAATAGCCTCTTAATTAGCCTCTATGAAACTTCTAATATTATCTAGAAGTATTAAATATTATTAGTGACCTCGCGAAATAAACTCCACAAAATTCGTAGATAATCTCTCGCGAAATGTAACACCACGAAATCCGTGAACAATCTCGCGACACAGTCACTAATTGGCTGGCTTCAATATTAGCGCTGTCATTTCACGAAATAACACGCCACCAAATATCTGTGGGTGTGCATGAAACCGCTGATGAGGCTGAACTCAGTTGAGGGAGGCTCCTGAGCTCCCTCGAGGCTACGCTTCCGTCTTTGACTGGCTGGCCTTTGTTTAAATAACACTGCACTAGTATATTTAATGAATCCACTGGATAACTGGTTCATCCGGTACTAAGATGACCAAATGTGGGTTCATAGGACCGAATATTCCGGTTCCGAAGGTCCAAATAATGTGGGAACCGACCTGTGAGATTTATATTTATTTAATTTATATGAATTTATATTTACGTTAATTTATATACTTCGATAGCAATTTGTATAATGATAAGTGGACTGTATTTCTGCAATAATCTCATAATCTCACAAATCGATCCTCTACACATTAGGGGGGGTTTATATTACACATATGCAGCCAATCAAATTACAGTAATAGCTACATACATTGATGAGGTTCCTTATCTTATAGTACAGCAGGTTAGTCCACCAGGTATAACTAGAGTGTAGACACCAAATTATCCTCTTTGAGGTAGCTTCTATCACCCAGAAACTGGTGCACATAATCTTGCATCCTCGTCTTGACCTGTCAAAAGTGCGCTAGCTGTGAAGCCAGAATCCTATATATGACAAGTATATCAGAGAAAACACTATACAGTACATGGAACATTAAAGACCTGGCTTAATTACCTTTAGTTTGAGGCGATTTCGCGTTCTAACCGGCTAACCCTATATCCTGACATTAATGGCCATAAATGAATGATAAACGGGTTTCGGATAGACACTTAACTTGTATTTGTAGACAGCGTGTTGACAATGGTACACCTTTGGGTTCCATAACACTACGTCCAAGTAAATTTAACAGGAGCCGAATTTGCTCCCGTGTGAGCCTCTGGTCTCGTATCAACAACAATGGCTGCCCTCCTTCCTCCACTCTGACGCCTGGCTTACATTGTCCAGATTTCAGAACGTGATAGAAGGGTCACATTTACTCTACTTTAATATTGATAATTAAGTTAATTTATATAAGATGTTTTTATGATGGTAAAGTCCAAAGACTTATGTATTTAAGAATAATTCCCACCATAATAGGTGGTGAATTATAATAGTATGTGGTGATGATATCCCGTTTTCTTTAGACGGTAATTCCACTACAAGTTACGTTTTCTATGGGTAACTTGTTGGTAATACAGCTATTATCTGTATGATATATTAAATGGTGTCGGATTTTCCGACACCTGCTGCTAGGCATGTCAAA